ATAGGAGGCCGAGGCCCACTTCGAATCTTCTAACGCAAAGAAAGGTCATGTTCGCTAGCTGAAATCTCTTCATATAAGAAATTGTGGATCGAGCAAGTGAAGATATTTTTCGAGCTAAAAGCTCTCTGGACATTTTCAGGGGCATCCGTTTGACCAAAGAGGGGATACCAGTATTCCAGAATGGAAAGGACAAACATGCGGTACAGATTTAACTTTACTTCGGGAAGGAGGAAATTATATGATATAAAACCACATATATGTGCAGCCTTTGCAGAAATTCGATCCGCATGAGGTGATAATGCTAGTTTATTCGTGTAGGTTAGACCTAATTGTTTTATGGTGGATCGTTCTAAAAGTTGGGTGTTTTAAAAAACTGGGGTTCGAGAAAGCTTGATGGGGCGAAAACACATGAAACCACATTTGGATGGAGAAAAATCCATCTGCCAGGTAGCGCTCCAACGTGAGTGTGAAGGCAGGTCTGTGTTAATTCTATCGACGCGTATATTGGCCGTGTCCTTAGAAAATGAGTAAATGCAATTAAGATTGTCTGTGTAAATGAGATTGCGTGAAATTTTCAGCACTGCTGAAATTTACTTTATGTATATAATGAAGAGTAAAGAATCCAAGACCGTGCCTTGAAAAACACCACTTGTGATCATCTGGGCCGTAGAGTGGCAGTTACCTTCTTGGACTTTCTGGCTGCGGTTAGGCAATTGAGAACCAATGGAGTCGAGCAGAATAGGACGCATGCCGATGGCTTCCAGTTTCACCGAAGTACGCCTATGCGGTACCTTGCCGAAGGCTTTACTAAGGTCAAAGTAGATCACAACCACTGATTGCTGCTCGTTACAAAGGAAGTGCGGAGGTTAAGAAAAGCTATGTGACACGTTTCGCATGATCATTCAGGTAGAAGACCCGGCTGCGAGTCGCTTGAAAGCTTTTATTCTATGCAAAAGTCGAAAATTTGGTTGAAAATGATCTCTTCCAGAAGTTTTGCTAGGGCCGGTGTTCTATGAATGCCTCTGTAATTATTTACGTCCGAACGAGATCCCGACTTCAAGACAGGAAGAATACTAGATGTCTTCCATGAGTTAGGAAATAATCCGTTTAATAGATAGACTGAGAAAAAATTGCTAAGCAGTCTATGGGAGCTCATCACTCTCTTGATAATTGAGTTTAGAATACCATCAGTGCCCGAAGAATGTAGGTTGTTAGGCGAATTTTGTTCAGATGAATTAATTCTATGGAGAAATCGATGGAACTGATAATATTGTCTGAGTATGGTTGAAATGATGGAACTGGTTCAATTTCCATCGAAAGATGTTTTGCAAAAATTCAATAAACTACTCAGCCTTGTCAGTGTCTTCGAGGACGATGCCCATGCGATAAGTTAATGCCCGAGGGTAGTGCGGGCAGTGAAGGCGGCGGTCTCTGCTATGTGTTGGTGCTCCAGGCACTGGTTCACCGGTCTTTGTGCAATCGATTCGCAAGTGGCCGACCGGGCTGGTTTGTAAGGACAGATTAGGCTCAAGCCCCCATTGCTGGTAGAGGGGTCAAATGTGATGATAAAAGAAGTGGCACGAGGTGATGCGTCGGAGGGGGTGGATACAATTGGGGGTGTGGTCTCCGTTGTGGTCCATGTTGTAGACAGAGGGGGGTCGAAGTAGGAAGGATGGTATCAGGGCACTGCGTCCGGAGATGACCGACCAAACCGATACGTGCAGGGAAGTAACGTTGGTAGCAGGGGCAAGTTGGAAGGACTTGGGCATTGACAACGTTCTTCCATTGGGTTTGAAACTCTCGGGCCATCATTTTCGCCTTGACAGCGGCGATTCGACTGGCATCTTAGATAACTGTGCCAGTGTTCACTGTTCGCCAAACAGATCGGCCCTGCGGAAGTTCCCCCCAGGTCGCCGTATTAATTTGAAGAAACTTCTAGAAGTTCCTCAGAGTGCCCGTGTAGCGCCTTTTTTGTCCTCCCTTGCGGCGAGCACCCACAATGACATCACCGTAAAATATTCGCTTGTGTAGTCGTCGGTCGTCCATCCAT